TATATAATGTAACAATTATCCTGCTTGTGTAATGAGTTCTGCATGATATAACACTTGCTTAATGTTAACATTACATGGCCTTTATGTATTTGTTGGTTTACTTTTGTAGTCTTCTGTGTATTTTCGTTGATTCTAATTAATATAGTATTAAGTGTGAAGAACTATATATTTCACGATAGTTTTATTCATTGTTTTTATTAGCATTTTGTAGATCTTATTTAATTTATTGTTTACTTTTTGGTTTATTTTAACCCTTTAGTTATGGGCTTTGTTGAGGCGCTATTTTGCGAAATTAGAGATAATTTTGAACTATTATTCTTTATTCGATAAAATAACTTAATTTAACGTGCAATACTCTCACTCTTCTTATGATTTAATAATCTTATGTTGTGTATATTCTTTTATAATTGGTTTTTAATTTTTGTGTTTAATGGTTTTTTGAAACCTGAAGTTTTTTGACCCTGTTTTCGCAATTTGGTCTTGTTGATAGGACGACCAAGAGGAACACACCTAGTTCGGAGTCCATAGTATGCATAATAAATTCCAGAGTCGAACCATGGCCGTGGTACATTCCCAGACGTTTCGCCGGCATATTAGTCGGCATTGTCAATGAGCATTGCCAGTCTTAGCACCACACTTCAACTCGTCAAAGAGATAAGTGAAGCTGATCCTTTGACCAATTGTCTGCTAAATAATCGTGGTATCTCTCCTTATATCCCTGGGCTAATGACCAATACTATATCCTTGAATCACGCCTTCACTATCATACTTTTAACTTGCTTATTTTTATGTAGTATCGTGTGCTCTTTTGAGCGGCTTTCATGAGAACTCTCCAAACTCCAAGCTGGATTTTCCACCCCCCTCAACCACCTCACCCTTGTGCTTGGACTCTTGTTCAGGGTCTGCCATTTTCTTACCAGCCCTCCTTCTCTAGAGCTTATCAGTGTCTCCCATTTGCTCTGTAGGATCTGTCTGCTATCTCCCTGGTTCAAATATTTCGCTTGATCCCTGGCACCCCATCTGTGCTACTTGAGGCGCTATTTCTCACACTGCCTCTGGGAGACTAACTTGAAGCTAAAGCCCCTGAGTAATTATCATAGTCAAGCCATTGCTTCATGGACCACGTCTATAATAAAACAGGTCTACTGTCAGCCAACTATATTCTCTGCCGCGTCTATCCTGTTTCTATCCCTAATACCAAGTCTACGACTTTCTATGCCCTTGTTTCTTGTGTGCCAATCCACAAACGTTGTGGTACCTCTTGCTTTGATTAGGTTCAATGTTGAACCACAACATTTCTGGGTTGGCACACAAGACTACGACCACACAAAAGGCTACACCGTCTTGGTCTTCATACCTGCCATTTCTTGTTTGCTATAGCTATCTAATTTAGGTATTTTGTCCGTTATTATTTCTTTTGTCTGTAATTTTAATTTTCTTTGATTTGTTTCAGGGTGTTTCTTTTATTTTAGTGCCTGTTTCTATTCAGTTACAAAATTTCATTTTATGAGGCTGATTAGTTTACATATTTGTTTTATTTTGTTCATTAATTTTTATTTTTAAGAGTTTTTTAGTGTTATAAATGGCTTAGAGATTAGTAGTACAATTCAAAATAGGCTGGCCGATTTTAATATATATTTTCTATTTTCATATTTTTTTTATTTTGAGTTATTTATTGTATCTTACATATGAACTCTATGTTTGAATGTGTCCTTGAAGTACGCGTACTTAACGACCATATGCAGCTTCATTTTCGGTTATTCTGCTAACCATTACTCGAAATCTGCCATTAAAAAAGCTTAAGATCTGTGTATAACTAGTTTTTCATTGAATTTTCTAAATAGTTCTTGTATACATTCGCAACAGTAAAAACAAATATATCGACCTTTTCTTTTATTCTTAGAAAATATTTGCTTACTGATTTAGTTAGAAAATTTAACATATAAATGATTTATGCCTATTGCTTAGCTCGCCATACATGACTTTATTGTGGGCCTCCGTTTAATTCGAAATCGACTACTTATGACTATGGCTTCTTAAATTTCTAATTTTCTTTCGGCATGTATTTCTATCTTATTTATCCTTTATTATGCATTTAGGCTTATAACACACGCATTCTCTGCGGACTTGAGTGGGACTATCCTATAAAGGTCATCATTCTAAGAGTTTATTATTTAAAATCTAGTATTTCTTTTATTCTACAAGTGACAGAATTTTGCATGAGATTCTTAGCAGTTGGTGATAGCTTTTGGAAATAATCTAGTGCTTTGAAAATATCTTACTGATCGCGCTCTAATTTTTGATTATATAGCTTGGTGCAGACGAGACCGCACGTGACTCCTTTGGATGTCTGCCCGTTCACTATGCCTCAGCCTTCGATACTTCTGGTCTTCTAGTCGATAGCTTACTTCTATTTCAGAGTCATCAACATCCTAAGCAGAAGCTGAAGCAACAGCAGAAACAAATTCAAAATCGGCATCACTACTTGTCACACCGAAAGCTCAGTCCCACACGACTTTTAGCGTCTTGGCCAACCGACATTGATTACACCAGTTGCATCTCTCTTCTACGTGTCAATTTGCCGGCCGCTACTACAAATATCGCTAATAGCAATATCCACAACGGGGACATCTCAGCTGGCAGCCTCTCAGCCAGTAATAGTCATCCAGACGAGCAATCGCCCTCCGAGAATGCTAAGTCAAAGGTCTCCTCCTCATGGCCGAAGTGCATAAAGCAAGCCAATTTATATGCCGGCTCCGAAGAGCCTGACGATGGATCCGAGCTCAATTTCAACAAATGCGGGGATGAGATTTCGGCCTCAAATACCAATAACACAGTAGGCCTTGTTATAAATCAACAATGGGGAAAATTAAAGCGATTGTATCTAAAACCTCTGATTTATTTACCTTGATACTTAGCTGTGTTGCTCGGAAAGCATATGGAGCTATGATGTAAATAGTACATGGTCCGGATAGATCTTGGTATACATTACAGGCTATATTAGTGATACTATCCGGGATGAATTAATTCTTGATCTCTTATTTAGGCTAACTGCATTACAAATTTTAATTAAGTATTATCGTCCAAACTAGAGTGCGGCTTTCGCCTCATCAAAGTATTCTCAGCACCTCACTAGGTATGCAATACGTGTCTGACACTTGAACATTTGGGCCCTCAATATTGTTCTATAGTCATAACTCTCAAGGTTCCGTATATTAATTTTCAAGATTCACCTATATCATACAAACTTTTCTATTATCTGACATCCTTATCCCTTTCATCAAACCCTATACATTACTAAAAGTTTGATTTTCACTTATTTAGTATCCTCATTGATAAGGAAACTGACAATGTAAATCGCTTGTCATATGAGATCGATTTTTCCCCGGAAGTCTTATTTATTGGAAATGTTGACGAGACATAAATGGGTTTATAACTGCAATATATTCTCTCCTGTCCTGAGCTATTCACCTATCCTATATCCTCGTATTACCCCTTTAATATAATTATTTCTATCTTATTTATCTAATACCACTTGAAACCTATTCACAGTTCACTCTGATTTCCGCATCCCTCTCGCTGTGCCGGGAGTGTCGATCCAATGCTGTGACTTAACCCTCAATCTTCTCCCTTCGGGTCCTATCAGAGACCTCCTTTTGCTCCGTAGTATGCTTCTCTATTAAACTCGAGTAGAACCATCGCACTTGGGGGCCGGCAAGCAAGAGGAAGTCATAGACTTGTCATTAGGGATGAAAGAGCGAGATAAATTGTGGTGTTCGGCGAAACGTCTGGTAATTTACCAATTCAACGGTTCGACTCTTGAAATTACCATGCATACTATGGACTCCGGACAAGGTGTGCTCCTCTAGATCTTCATGTCAATATGATCAAGTTACAAAAGCAAGGTCAAACAACTTTTATTATATCTTATCGTTGATTCGATCCAACATAGGTGCGATTAATTAAGTTTTGATCACGTAAAATTTCATTA